GATGCGGCCGCGACGGCGCTTGCCCAAGGGAAGTTCCCGGCGCGCGTCAAAGGCCGCGCTGGCGCGCAGGCGTTTGAATGTGGGTAAATGGCTCGGGCGGGCGCGGCCTCACGATGTCATCCACAACTGCGGCAACGATAGTGGTAGTATCTAGAACGGTGGCGGCGATGATGATGATGATGATGATGATGATGATGATGGTGATGGTGATGATGGTGATGATGTTGATGCTGATGCTGATGCTGATGATGAGGCTGATGCTGATGCTAATGGTGATGATGATGATGAGAATGACGATGATGATGATGATGATGATGACGGCGATGTTGGTGATGATGATGTTACTGGTGATGATGATAATGCTGCTGATGATGATGATGATGATGATGAGGTTGAGGATGATGATGATGGTGATGGTGATGGTGATGGTGATGATGATGATGATGATGATGATGATGATGATGATGATGATGATCAGGGTACTGCTGATAGTGGCGACGGCAAGGCCAACGACGTCGTGGATGCTTGCAGCGCCGATTACGATGATGATGTCCATTTGTCGGTGATGAGGTCTTACGCGAATTTCGACATTCGCTCGCGGCCGACGCTCGCGAGTGGCCCGAATCGTATTATTTAACAGAGATCGTGCCCCCGCGGAAGGGCGTTCAGATGATTCCGACAAGCGTGCGCGAAAAGGTTCGCGTAGTCTTACTGAATATGTGGCCCGCTCTATGTGGCGCAATTAACTCAAGAGGCTTACGCCATTCCGCCGATTTTCATAACAGTTAACTCGTCAAGATATTGGGCATTTTCTTGGGGCCCTCCTGGGCCGTCTTAGGGATCCCTGGGTTTGTCTTGGGGCCCTCTTTGGTCTTCTTGGGGATGTACTCGGTAGTTTTGTATTTATTTGAGGGGGGGGGGCGTTATATGCCGTCCTGGGACGATTTTGGTGGCTCTTTGGGCCCGCACTGTCGCAGGCCAGCACACCCGCACAGCCTGAGGTGTTACCAAGGGGGCGGTGTGAATTGGCCGGTGTTTGGAGCCAGCCGAGGGCTCGAGGTGGGGCCCAGCACTGGTTTTCGGCGTTCGGGGACCGTCGTCGGGCCCCGGGGGCCGCCGGACCGATCCTGGGCGGAAGGCTAATCCAGGTGGGCCCCAGGGGGGGTCCAGGGGGGACCGATTTGGAGCGGATTTGCCTTGTCCCCGCGTCTTGACCGATGTCCTCGGGTTTCATCTGCAGCTCTGACCCCGTGGCCGCCTCCAGGCCTGAGTGCCCGATGCTGGCGGTCAGCGCGTGCTTTCGAGCGTGGGCCCGTTGGGGCCTCGAGGTTGCCGCGGGCTCGTCCTCCCAGCGTTTGCGTGGCTCCTTACCGTGCTATGTTTGGGGGGCACGTCAGTGCGTGCATGGCCCCTCTCTCTCCCTGGCCTGCCTGACCTGTCAGGTGCTTGCATGGCGCGAGCCCTCCCGGTCCCACCAGGAGCTCTGAGGCTTCTCGCTCGCGCCTGGCTTTGAGCTCGGCCTCCTCGTTCCTCCCCCTCTTCCTCGCTCCTGCTCCTGCTCCTCCTCGTCCTCCTCGGTTTTTCTCCTCCTCCTCCTCCTAAGAGTGCTCAGCTGATGGACGTACGGACCCCCAACGGCCTTATCCTCCTCGTTCTCCTCCTCCTCCTCCTCCTCCTCCTCCTCCTCCATTCCTTCACAGCTAACGCTTCCCTGTCGCACCCCGAGGCCCGTCGAAACGGCGGGCCGGGCGTTTCGCCTGAGACCTCACAAGTTACGATCCTGAGTATAGAACTTTGCAAGAGCTTCACGGATGGACGGCGGCCCGCTTGAAAAAGGGGATTTTGCTTTTGCGCCGCGCACATTCGTTTTAAACATTTGCAAGAGTTTCACGGATGGAGGGTGGCCCGTTTTCAAATTTTGGTTCTCGCCACAGCTGTGCGCACATTCGTTTAGAATGTTGCAAGAGCTTCACGGATGGAGGGCGTGCCGTTTTCAAGATGCGATTCTCGCCATAGCGGCGCGCACATTGGTTTTCAAAATTGCAAGAGCTTCACGGCTGGAGGGCGGCTCGGTTTCAAAACGTGGCGTCCGCTGTAGCACGTCGGCAGTCGTTTCAAAGGCTTGTCAGAGCTTCACGGCTGGAGGGCGGCTCGTTGCCAACATGTGGCTCTTGCTTTCGCACTGCGCACTTTCGTTTCAAGTGTTCGCAGTAGCTTCAAATATTCTCCTGGTCAGCGTGCCAGGAATGGTGTTTTGGCACGATGTCGGAATGTCAGGGCGCAACAGTCAGGTTGATTGGCGGTGTGAAGTCGTTGGAAGGGCGTTCTGGCACGATTCAGGATCGTCAAGACGCAACAGCAGTAGTTATTCGCGGCGTTGAAGTCCCAGGAACGGTGTTCTGGCACATTTGTGGATTTGCAAACGGTTGTCTTCAGCGCTGCAATTCCCCATGGAAGTGAGTCTGTGTATGAGCCTACGACGAGGCTTATTTGAGGGAGACTTTATTGTAATATCGTTGATGAGTCTTGGGTTTCTGCTCGTCCTTCTCTTCCTCCTCCTCCCCCTTCGTCCCCCTCCTTGCAATATAATGATTGACAGGCAGCCGGCAGCACGAGCCGCAGCCCGACAGCACGCATAACGTCGTGCCGGATGCATAGAGCCAGCGTCGCCTCCACAGAGCGTTTGTTTGATTGCCTCACCAACAAACCAGCCGGCCCCAAATCGCTCGCTCGTCGCTGATATCTGATCGCGTTCGACGCATCGCCACCCTGCATTGGAATAGAAGCAGCGCGAGCAACAACAGGTGGTGGCCCGCTGTCACCAGCAGGGCGTTGCACGTCCGCCGCCAGATTGTGTCCACGTCCGCCGCCTTGGAGTTGTGCCCCTGGATCTCGAGGGCCTGTCCGACGAGCGGCGGATGTGGGCACCCTGCCCGCCCCTGAGGGCAGAGAGTATACAGATCCAGCCCCCCAGGGATCTTGCACACTGCGTTGCTTACTGAGACAACTTTCCAGCAGGATTCCAACCGCTGTGGATGTGGACGTTGCCTGGCGGCGCATCACAGAGCGAACAGCGGCGACATGCTGAGCGACCAGAAAGAGCGGTAGATCACGTTGCTTTCGGGCGGTCATGTTCGGTGGACGCTTGGCCTCCAGCCTCCTACTCAGAGGAGGAGAGCAAAGAGACACTCATACCGTTGCTCGTCGTGGAGAGCCCTCGTCGCCACGGCTGGATTCGCCTCGCGATTCCGGTCAGGACACGCCCCAGGAGAGGTCTGGGGAGTTGCGGTCTCGGTATCGTTTCGTCCCCCCACCTACTCCTCCCGCCCCCCCGCGGGGGCGAAGACGAGGAGTTAGGAGAAGGAGATTGGAAGAGGACATGTACGAGGAGCAGTTGGTGTACGGTTTGCTCCAGCCTCGGATTTTTCGGTTCTAGTTTTTCCTTTTTCTCTTCTCCATGCCCGGCGCTCCCTGGCCCCCGAGGGCCGTGGGGTTTCTCGGGGTCATCTTGGGGACCTCAGGGAACCTCTAGGGGCCATCTTCGAGAACGTCGATTAAAGACGCGGAGGCCCTTTTACAGCGGGGTGAACTAAAATAAGCGAGCTAGTGTCCCCGTTCGTAGGGGAAGGGGTCATTCCCCCAACATTGCTAACCACCTCCGTGAGGGAAGGGGTCGTCGACGCCGTGCTGGTCGACCTTGTGGGACATGCATCCTACGCGAACTAGAACTGAGCCGTCCGCATGGTCGGCTTCGCGTCCACAAGCTTCCCCAGCCTCCTGTTTTCACTCCTTCCTCCTATGCCTCCTCCTCCTCCCGCGCCTCTTTGTTCTCGTCCCGTGCCCTCCGTACCTTTCAGTCATTCCTTCTGCCCTATCATTATCAATCGCTATTAGTCCTCCTGCTGCCCGTCCTCTGGCAAACAGTTTGTTAGATGGTTGTCAAGGCGGATCGGATTCCTTTGGCTACCTGCACAAGAGAGGAATTCCGTGCCTGTTCGTACAAGGCTTACTGGACGAGTCCATACGCTTTCGTTCGAGTCGTCTCGTCGTAGTCCCAGCGTTGGTCGTAGGTGTCGTATGTTCCCTCAGTAGTAGGGGGACAACGGCGACCGCGGCGACGACTGCAACAGCGACGACGACGGCAACGGCGGCGACGACAACGACAGCGGCGGCGGAATTCTTGTTTGGTAGTTTGTGTGGGTGTCGGCAGCATTCAGTTTCAACACATGGCAGGTTGCCCATCATGGGGGTGAGTTAAAGATCTTCTGGGGGTATCTAGGTGTGGCACCATGGGTGTTTGTGTGGTGGGAGGGTTGATGGGAGTTGGCCGGGCCCGCTGACTCGTTCCTCCTGGCTAACTTGGCCTTTACATAATCAGTCCCCGTCTCCTCTTTTCTTTCTCCTTTTCGTCCTCCCCCTCCTCAACCTCATTCCCCATCCTCCGCCCCGCCCTTCTCTCCTTAGCCCCCTTCCCTCTCCTTCTTCTGTTTCGTCTTCCCCCTCCTCCTCCTCCTCCTCCTCCTCCTCCTCCTCCTCCTCATTCGTCTTCTTCTTCCCCCCTTCTTCTTCTTCTCCCTCATCATCATTTTGCCCCTTCCTCGGAGTAGGTTGAAAAGCTGCGGCCCCAGCTACTTCTTTGTCGATTGCCATACGGCGAGAGACGCGTGGAATCAGATCGACACTTGTGCAGAGCAGGTCTGACGCTCGCACATTCGTACACATGTACACAATGCATACACGTTGTACGTGAGTCTCCCTCTGCACGGCCACTTGCGCTCGCACGGTCGTGTGTTCGCGCACGCACTGGTGACCTTTAGAGGCGAACGCGCAACAGGGATAGATGGAGAGAGAGAATCCGAGACATTCGGAAGTTTGCAGGAGCAGCGTTGTCCATGCTCGGTCCGAGCTTTGCATTGGTGATTCCTGCATTCGAGAGGGCAAGTCCGTGAGGAACTCGAGCGGTTGATAGTTGCGGCTTCTTTCCCCCGGCCTCCCTTCAGGAACATGGATTGGGCTCTAGGCGCCGCGCTGCAGCCTACCCTCTGCTGCTCTGCACAGCATCTGCTCAGTCGATGGCTGGTTGGTAGCAAGGCGCGTGGGCATCACCCGGATCTTGAACGCAGATCTCCGCCACAGTGGTCATTGATAAGGTGGGAGTTGATCTCATCCCAGTGCGGTGTCAGAATTGCATGCTCGGGAGTGTGTGCCACAAGCAGCGTGTTCGGGCATGGAGCCTTCGCGGCCCAAGCAGTCTCATCGAAACGTTGTTTCAGTTCAGCTGGAGAAGATGTCGTGAAGAGACTCGGGTATCATCATACAGTAGTTCCAAAATGTTTTGTTCTAGGTGTTTGTGTTTGCGCAGGCGCTTTCTTCCCCTCTGCGCGCGGGTGGCAGGGGCCTTTACCATGATTGTTCGGCCTTGTGCTTCCCAGTTCTAGGGGGAGGAGGGATGACGGATGATGGGGGCAGGTATGAGGCAGGACGACGAGGAACAGGGAGTTTTCCTGATGATTATCCTCGTCATTCCCCTCGTGCACCTCCCATGCATTCTCACTCGCAATCGTGCTCCTCACCTGCCCCATTGCTCGACCACGCCCCCCCCAGCCGCCCCTCCCCAAAGCACACCTTTCCCTCCGTCCGCGCTTCCGTCGCCTCCTGCATCCCATTCATCCCTCCGTCCCGCCCTTCGTCCCGCTCTTCGCCCCCACATCATCACATCCACTCCTGTTCCCCGCCCCTCCCCTTCTGTCACTGTCACCTTCACCCTTTCTTCTCCCCATCACCTCCAATCCACTCCCTCACCTGCCTCCCTCCTTCCCCCTCCTTATTCCCCTCCCGCTTCGCCTCTTCCCTCCTTGCTCTCCCTGGAGTGGTTCCCTCTCCCTCTTCGTGTCACCGTCTCAGGAGCCCCAGGCAGCTGCTCCATGCCCGGCCCCCCACCCGATACCGCTGGGAGTCTGCTACGCTGTTCGCTGGGGTGCGTAACGACGGAGCCCGTTTGAGGTGAGGCCAGCTCTCGCAAGCCCTTTCCGCAGCCCCCTCCAGCGCTGGCGACTTGTCTTCCACAGCAGCCGCGGCAGGGTCACTCCCGAGCCCCTCCAGGGCCTTGGCCCCCTGCCGAGATGAGGCAGCTGCGTCCGAGGCTCCCGCGTGCCGGCCCAACGGGAGCACAGCAGTCCGATCCTGGCTATCGCCCTCCCCCCCCCTCCCCTCCCCTTCCCAATCCCCCCCACCTCCCTCTCCCCCAGACTCCTCCCCTCCCCTCCCCTCCCCTCCCCTCCTGCCCTGGCCCCTCCCCTGCATCCACCTTCTCCCCCAGCCCTCCCCCTCCTGAACAACTCCTCCGCTCTTCCAGGCTGCCTGGGAGGGCCGTCTCGATCTCCTTGAAGGGCGGGGACCCTCTCGCGCTCTGCCCCCGGAGGCGATCCCCCCTACGTGAGATAGCGGGCGTCAGCTTGGCCTCAACTTTTTTAGATATTCCCACGTGCGCTGGCAGGAGGCCCCCGCTGCACTCGCCAGTCCAGCCCTCCCCTCGCTCCCCTCCCCGTTCCCGTCCTCGTCCTGCTGCTGCTGCCCCTCATCCATCTCCCCCCTCGATGGGGAGGGGGGGGGACTGTGCCAGCGTGTGTGGCGGGCGTCTCCAGACTGTTGCTGCATTATTGGAGGGAGCCTCGCGGCGCATCAGGGTCCGCTCACAAGCTCCCCGAGTCGTGTTTCGAGCCGTCCGCCCCGGCGGTTTGGCCAGAGATGAAGGTCGGATGCCTCGTACAATTTTCATTCGTACAGCGAATCCCTTCGCTTGCGAACCCATTGGTTAGATGTTCGCTTTGGGGATCTACCTGGGTCCAAAGTAACGGATCAGTTCGATTGTAGTTCGACTCAAGGCGACGGGCGTTCGGCGCAGGATCGACGCATGAGTCGAGCGAGTGGCTGCAGAAAGTCCTCCAAACGAGCACCTAATATTGGTTCCCCGAGCAGCTCTCGCACTGGAGTGACTCTTACGCGTCGAATCCGTTTCGCGAAGCTTTGCGCTGCGTTGTTCCAGCTTTCTGCGGATCGGCCGTGTCCCCCACTGTCCCTTGCTCGGTCCCGTGTCCTGAATTCAGTTCCAATGTTTCGCCGAGTCCATGTGTCAGGCCGTTTTTTGGGCTCGCCAAGTCCCAAGTCGGTGTCAGTTGTTCTAGCGGGGCCCAACTGAAACATCCAACATCCCCGCGCTTCCAACAAAATATGGCACACTCTTTGCCCCTGGCCAGCAGGGGCGTCGGTGTGTTTTCAACTTAACTTTGGTGAGGCGGTTCTGCCGCAATTTGGCAAGGTGCGCCGCTGACCGGCGGCTCCAGCCTATAAGACCAGTCCATGAGTTCTTCCGCAAGGCTTCTTAATTTGGGCATATCCTGCAGCGTATGCCTGCTCAGAATTGTGGCGATTAGCCAAGTAGATCGCAGCGGCACGTCGATGGCATGGGTGGTACTATCGGCACCATGGCGAACGCAGGGATATTGGTATCTGGCGTTTGATACGGAAGCACCAGATGACATGGGCCATTGGGATGAGGGTGGTGTGACGAAAACCGATGTTGCAGAAGTCAGAGCATCTTGGCACAACCGCCATTTGCGTTTTAGTGCGTGTATGTTTATATGCATGTCTCCCGCTAGCGAACGACGCGATAGTTCTGCACATCGCCACAGGATAAGAAGTGTACGTGTGTATAGTAGAAGAGGGAGGGAGATCGAGTGCGTTTGAGTATGTGTGTACCTTGGTATTGGCACTCAATTGATATCATGTCTGCCATCTGCTGAGCCGCTCGAGTTTTTCGGCCTTGCTTGATGCGTGCAGAATCCGGACAGCACAATTGCTGGTAGAGCACGCTACAGCGAAGCATTCTCGCCAATGTGCGCAGTCTTAGTACATGATCATCGGCTTCAGCCTAACCAGCCGGCCCCCTTTCTAATACATGGTTCAGTTCGGTAGAACGTCGAGTGTGTGTGTGTGTGCCTGTATGTGTGTGTGCGTGGGTTTTGCAAAATTGTGGCTGAACCACCCGATCTTCTTTCTTCCGCCCTACACCCTACATGTGATGAAGCACATCTATTGCAGATGCTTAATTGAGCGGTGCATCATGTTTAGTCGAGGTTGCGTTTGGAAATTCCGAGGCCGAATGACGGGAGCGAGTTGGGATTCTTCAGCTGGACATGTTTTGATGCATCTACCGGACATTTGTACCGTACGCCTGCGCATCATTCTAGCCAGAAAATATGTTTCCAATTTTCCTTGCTGAGCGGCAGCAATGATTTGTCGAGTATGTTGTTGCCAGTTGATGACCCAGAGGGACCACATATCGTGCAATCGTATAATCCGAGATTAACTAGCCACAAACACATGTTGTTTGTCGTCGTTGATTCAGATTTGGTTTGAATAAGAGAGTGTTCGCAACCGTTTGTAGTAGCCGCAAGCATTCAAAAAACGCAGCAACGTTCACCCAGGACTATGAAGCAAATTACAAGGTGATGTGCTCTACAGGTTCATCCCCGAGGATATACGACGGCGATAATGCCGTGGCCGATGTGATCAGGATCCAAATGAACACGACGGATGCTCATTCATGAGTGGCAGTCGTTTGGGTGACCATTTCCCAATCACTCCATGCAGCGGCCGAATCAAAGATCCCAGATCAGTCAGTTGCGAGTAATGTCCCAGAGACGTTGAGCTAATTCAGTGGTCAATTCATCAGTGTTTTTTTTAGGGGAGTTGCTTCCAAATGCGATCAGACTAGACGACTCCACTCATGGCATGAAACAAACCTTATGGCGGCCTTCCCGGCATGATTCCGCAAATATTGCCTGGATTTTGGGGATCGCAGAGGAATTTGATGTGTGTGTGTGTGTGTGTGTGCCGAGGTTTCGCCTGGTGCCCCGTTGGTGGCTACCCGTGAGCGTCTCGTGGGCGCCTTGTGCTGCGTGTGTGCCGAGGTTTCTTGTCCTCTCCCCCCGCGGATGCCTGCGCAGCATCATCGTGATCAAATGTAATATAGGCGAGCTCTCCGAACGCTCACAGAGGATACGTATGGACACGCGCCCCCCCGAACGTGCATGCTGGCCAATCCGGTTTCCGGTGCCCCCGCCTCCCGTCTGGCTCTGTCGCTGGTGCGGCCAGCTCTGCCTCGCCGCCGACGGAGCAAGCGTGTGCCGAGGTCTCGCCTTGTGCCCGCCCGTGGGTGCCTCGTGGGCGCCTCGTGCGTTGGGTGGGTGTCCCGAGGTTGCGCGCGGTGGCCGTCCGTGGGCGCCTCCGTGGGCGCCTCGTGCGCCGGGTGCATGGCTGGCACCCGCCCTTCACCGCACAGCTTGCACCGGTCGTGTGCCTTGCACACCGTGCCCATCGGTCGTTGGAAGTAGGTATTTTTGGATTCCCAGATTCCAATCTATTTCAAGCGCCTTCCTACTTCAATAATCGAGTGGTTTCACCTCTCCCGTCCTCCTTAGGGGGCGGACGGAACCCAATCTATTTTCAACGCCTTCTACTTCATGTTTCTACCTACCTCTTGCGACCGATGGGTACCCCACGCTGCTCATACTGCACCGCATGGCTGCCACCGCATAGCTTACGCCACGTTGGTTGTACCACGTAACCTGCACCACATAGCATGCACCACATCGTTTGCATCGCACACGATGCATCCCGTGATTTGCACCACGTAGATGGCACATCACAATTTACACACAATTTATTACTCACATCCTACGCCTCCACAATGCACTGACGTACAGAGTCATTGTCCACGCTAGAAGCTGTGATGTCGCAAACAACATTACCGGTCCATAACTTTTCGAGTGGTCCCCAGTCTTTTGACGCTTTCGCACGGTGAGGCTGTACATCTTAAGACGACTAGAAGGAACCAGAGGACTCGAGCCCTTCAGCACAGGATACGGGCAGGGCAGAATTCGGGAGGTCATTCAGCTAAGAGATCTACATTCGGGCTCACGCTGGCCTGAGCGCCCCCGTGGGGTGGGGGCCAGAGGACTGCGCAGTGCTTAGATCCGTCCACGCGATCACGCGCAGGATAGAATTGGAATGCGCTTCCTTGCTCAACCCGTTGCAGGCGCGGGCGGCACCAGAGGTCAGTGGCGGCAGGAGCCAGGGCCGAGGCCAAGATCTTCCAAGGTCTTCCAGCTCAGGTTCGAAATTGATGCAGTGTTTCGTCAAGGTCTTCCGCGTCGTCTGTGGATTCCCTACATACCTCGAGTCCGAGGTTTTCTGTCCCTTGTGGCTCCCTGTTGTTTTCCAGGGCCGCTCGAGCGCCTCCGCCTTGCATGCCCAGATCTATGCCTACGACCTCTGGTAGAATCGGATTCTCGTTTCGTGCTCTCCTCCCCCCCTTCTCCAAGAGAGTGGAGAGAGGGCGGCGGCGGGTTGAGGAGGCGGGAGAGGGAGCAGGGCTGGTGGCGGGAGTGACGCGGGAGGAGGATGGAACTCAGACATGCAATGTCCTGAAATAGTCCAAACGGAAGTTGTTTCTCAATTTTCGGCCTTTGGAGGCTGGAACAGTCAAACACTTACTCGGGATGAAAACCAGCCCTGGGAAAAGCGTCGAGACTTCCATGAACCCGGTATTGAAAAGATGAGGACGCCCGATCTCTGGTGAGGTTGGGGAAAGGTTCGGGCGGGTGGTAATGGGGTGTGACATAGATGGGTGAAGGGCCCCCTTTTGGAGCCAGCAGAGGCCCTAAAGGACAATTTTAGGGCTCCTTTTTTTCACCTCCAGTTTGGCCACCCCCCATCACCCGCCCGAGGAGGCTGCAGGGGCCTTGGACCGGGAGTCCCCAGTGACCAGTCATTGGGGACCGGACTGAGGAATTTTTCCATTGTGAGGCTATGGCGCCCCATCGAAGCAAAAAAGGGTAAATATCAGCACGCGAGGGCGACGCGTGAGTTTTTGCTTGTACTGGCCCATGATCGAGCGAAGCTTCAGTCGAGCTGGCACAGGAGAATGGAGGGGAGAAGGAACAGGAGGAAGAGGAGGAGGGGCGATGTGGCGGAGCAAGAGGCAAAGGCAGAGGCAGAGGAGAAGGAGGAGGCTGAGGGTGGTGGGAGGAGGCGGAAGGAAGAGTCAGTGAAGGAGGAGGCCGAGGCGTACGCGGAGGCAGAAAAGGCGAGAGGAGGAGGAGGTTCAAAAGGAGAGGAGGAGGAGGAGGAGGAGGAGGAGGAGGAGGAGGAGAACCAGTGTAACCCAAGACCCCAAGACTCGTCAAAGATATTGCAATAGACCTATCCCTACAATTTCCTTCTTCATAGGCCCCTACAGGGATTCACTTTCATTAAAGGAACTGCCTCGCAGGAAAACAGCTGGTTGAACATCTTGACATGTGCCCAAACACAATTCTTGGGACTTCAGCGCCGCGAATCACCGTAACTGTTGCGTCTTGACGAGCTTTGATCTTGCCTAA